ATATCTTTGATGGCTGTGTTACACCCCTGTACACTAATCTCATCAGCTAAGCACAGGTGGACATAGCCAGTACTAGGAAAGTCCAAGGAAAAGCAGTTAGCTGCTTTAAGTGGTGTTGGGAGACCAGTAGGTGGCGCTCTTTCCTCTGGATCAAAGCTGCATATTATGAAAAGGGTTTCTATTGCAGGCCCAGAACAAACAACACAGAGTATCCTGAAAAGAAGTGACCTCAATTTGTGATGCTTAATTTAGCCCTTATATTTGGGTTATGGCTGACATACTAATTCAGACCATTGGTTCTCTATCCTTGTCCTAGAGTAGCCCCGTGTCTGCTGGTTTGTGCTCCAACCCAGTTCTTAGCCACAATTTTCTATTTGAGGTCATTTTTTAAAAAAATTGCTTGCAGCTTTTAAAAACCTGAACGAGTTTCTGACTGCCCCCTGTTCAGGTATGCACCCCAATTGAATGGATGTAAGCAGAAAGTAAAAGCCTTACTCACGTGACAGCTGTCTGTTACAATGTAATTCCCACCTATGACTGTTCATAGTCAGTCGATCATCTAGTAACATCTACTTAGTCAGAAATAAAGGAGAGAAATCTTAATTGACACGTTGAGAAGAGACAGGATACAGTTCAGTGTGCTGTCAGAAATAAATTTTAACGAGGGTTTTTTTTTTACACGAAGGACAAAGTGTGAAAACAAGTGCAAAAGAACAGTCAGATCAGTTACAGGCATCAATCAGCACTTGTGATTAAGAGCCCAGTTGGAAAAAAAAAACAGCCGACACAGGGGTCCTTCAGCACCAGCAGTGAGAGCGACTGGTGTAAACGATTTATTCAGAATACTCATTTGCCTGTCCATTAACTTTTACCCTTGATGATCACCTGCTTGAAACCAAGGACACCTGTGACAACAGCTATATTCCCAATAATATTTTCTTCTTCTGCAGCTTTTTGGTTTTGATTACGCAGCACTGCTTTATTTGTGCTGCTGCTGTGCAGTAAGTAGTGCACAGTACGACACGTTTAAACTAAGAGCTGCTCTCAGGGGAAGCTTTTTTAAAGTTCTGCAGCAGCAAAGATGGTTTTGTGTTCCACTGATCTATACTTGGAAGCATCAGGCCTGCACAAGCTCGGCAGACGCCGGCACACCTGTTCAGACTCGGGGCACCTGGAGATCTTGTGATCCATTGAGTAAAGCGGTATTCCGGCTACCTAATGCAGACAGGTGTATGCCAACTATTCTGATACTGACAATACTCCTTGTGTGTAAAATGCCAGCTGAATTCAGGGTACTGCTGATTCAGGGAGGTTCAGCAAGAGATGTTAGACAGGTTCTCATCACTGCTTTTAAATATTGTCTGAGTTAAAGTGTCAAAACAAAGGGGAAGAAAAACATAGTGACAAATACCAGTTTCTTTCTTGCGACGTAGGTGAAAATTGGGGTCTTGTTCTAGGAACAGCAGGGGTATACAGATATTACCAAAACCACCCTCTGGATTCTGACAGCATTGTATATGAGACCTGGGACAGCAGTGCTTTATTGTATACATAATGGTCACGCGTAGTTAATGGCATCATTGTTTTGTTCTTGTAATGAGCACATTACAATGGATGCGGAAATTGAAAATTAGACGCACGTAACAGAAAGATGCCTTACAGGTACAAATTGTTATTTGATTAATCATGTAATGAACCATAACAAAAATAGCTGATTACGTTTATTACCAGCCAGACATAATTTAGTTTTGTTTGTACTAGCAAGGCAGATATTAAAGGGCTATTATTTTAAAATTAAAACAGCCCTAAATTTCAGTTTCAAACAGCTAAAAGCTAAACTGCTGGCATCTCGATCAAGGAGCATGAAATTCTGGTGTCCAATGCTCTTTGTATAAAATAATACATCACAAGAGCACCAAGCAGCAACTATTACTAACAGAACACTGTCGAGAAACTACACTAATGATCCGTGTCCTTTTCCATACCTCATTCCTCTCCTTATGATTTCAGATCACGGAAATGGTAACAACTGATTTCTGCAGCCTTAAAAAATAAAAAGAATGAGGTGGGAGACTCTATGACACACTGATGAGCATTGCGGAGTCATCATTGTGCGGGTGTGAGGGCTAAAAAAAGTAGAACCAACTGCCATTTGTTTCTAAACATGGCTAAGATATCCAATCTCTTTGAAGTAAAGTCATCCAGCAAATGCTGTCGTTCATCTATGCTTCTTTTTGATGGGATCAGTGTGAAAATTCCTACAGCTGGCACGGCCTCTGCTTTACACCAGCTCCTAATTCCCCACCACCGACAAAGCCCAAAACTGACTACAGCATTCGGGCCAATGTCGCGCACCTTTTTATTTTAATTGGTTTTATTTCACTGCATTAAACAGTGAATTGGTCTACAGTTTCAACAGACCAAATAGCTGACAGCTCCGATGGCGGTGCTATCTGCTCGAGAGTATATTTTTCAGATGTGTTTTGTGCTTCTTTAAAATATTTTGCAGCTTCTGTTCATGCTAATTTAAACTAGTTCCTTTTGTGTACCTTTCAAGAAAACTATAAAATTCACTCACTACAAAACACTTTCAACGCTAAATCTGCAACAGTACATTTCAGCTATTCCACTCCGATATCCATTTTAAATGGCCAAAGAGACAGCACAGAGGTTAGTGCTGCAGGCTCACAGCCACAGGGCTGTTATTGAGTCCCTCCTTCTGTGCTGGGGTAGCTTCTTGTTTTCTCTAGGTGCTCCAGTTTCCTCTCACCATCCCACGACATGCTGGTGAGGTTAATTGGAGTCATTACAATTGTCCCAGAGTGCCTGTGTGTGGCTGTGTGCCCCCACACTGGAGTGACATCCCATCCAACGCATGATCCCCCCACAAGCCCCCGACAGGAATAAGTAGCCTTCTTATTTGCCTTGGTTTATGTCTGGTATTGGATTCACTCTGGGGTTTTTTTTTCAGATGTTTTCAACTTTTATTTTTGCAAAATCGGATTAGAGGCCATTTGTTTCACCCTCCAGGTACAGGAAACGAAGCAATGTTTTAGTGTAACCCACAGCCATTAAAAAGGATTACATCCATCCAATATGGAAATGAAGATAACTGGAAAATCATCGCCGCTTTGAGTGAAAAAAAAATTGAATGTTCTATAAAACAAGCTAATCTCTGCGTTACACTGTCAGCTGCTCTAGCAAGCTATATACAAGTGATGCTACAACACGAGTAGCTAGGTAATCAAATGATAATCCACCAGATAAAAAGCTTTCAATGTTATAGATATGCATAACAATGTAATTGGAAGAAGTTCATTTAAAAAAAAAACAGAAAAGAAGGTAGAGTAAATGAATTCAATAAGAATGGGTTTTATTCTTCAAAGATAACCTGACTTTGCACAGGCACCTAATTTTTAAAAAGAGAGGTCTTTATTATTGACTTACCATGGAGAATTAAACTGGAATGCTATAGAACATTTACTGCTGGCGTTTTTCTAAAGGTTATCATATTAATAAAGAGCACCATTTGCTGAGACATTGTAATCTTCACACAGTGGAAATCACTGCGGGAGTGCACCAGTCACCCCTATTCTATTTTGGTAAGTGAATGCCGATGATATAATTCTCAATTTAAATCACAGTAGTAGCAAATATTTTGATTCTGAGCTGGAAAATTTAAACATTTCAGAATGACAAACATACCCTGTGTGCCACTGAGATTCCCCATGCAATGGTCAAATTATATCAGAAAAACAGAACCTGAAGCCTGATATCCTGCATACTAAACTACAGATTACGAAAGCACACAGGAAACAAGGCGACGTCAGTCAACAGCAAGCTAGTTTAAGATGTGCTAAGGTGATGAGCACAGTATTCATGGGCTCAGCTTAAACCCATTGGCGGAAGATGCCAGGACAACTCCACATGTCATGTTATATCATAGTTTGGACATCCATTACCATTCTCATGAACACTTCTGCACAGGTAAGGTTAGGCAATAACCTCTGTGGAAGCTATCCTTTTGTCACGGCTAGGATGTTAAATTAACATGACTCTTGGCATACATGCAAACGGTATACTTGGTATATGTGCAAACATTTGCATTCACATCCCTATGGTAATGAGTGTGCAATGTATGCTATATAATCTAGTTTTAACTCTCACGGATTCTGATTTGAAGTGAAGTTTTTATTTAGACAAGCAAGTATTCTGTTGGCAGTAGCTGTCTGCTTGTCAATGTCACATACATATCAGCTGTCAACTATCTTAACAGAGAACCAAAGAACAGGGGACATTTTATTTGTTTTGATGTGTACAATATTAATATGTAATGCAGCATGCTGCTGATGTTACTATTCTTAATCCTTGTTCTCTTATTATTGTACGCACATGATGCTGATCGGTTAATCACTGAGATCATTATCACTGTTATATGACCGTCAGATTTAAGGTGAATTGTGATGTGTCCTTGTGCAGCCTTGAAAGAAGCCCATTTCAGAACCATGGCTGGATAGTTTCTTCCATACTCCCATAACCTTCTGTTTAAAAACTGCCTCCTGGTTTCTGTTCTAAATGCACTTCTCTACATTTTCCACTTAAGGTTTGTATTTCATTTCTGATAGTGAAGAAGTCCACTGGGTAGACTTTCATCAATGCCCTTGAGTACTTTGAATACTTGGTTCATGTCCACTCATAGTCTTTGTAGCTCAAGGCTAAAAAGATTTAATTATTCCAGCTTGTGAGAGAAGGACATTTCTCCAAGCCTGGATATATACTTGGTTGCTCTTCTTTGGACTGATTCTGGGGCAGAAATGCCACAGGAAATCACCATGATAGTAAAATTGAATTGTTTGCTTTCATTACACAGGGCCTCTCTGGTGATAGAGTTCTTTGTTTAAGTCATAAAAGGACTTGACTGTACAGAAAGAAGGTTCACTCCCTCAAGCTATTACTGAAAAACCATGCCTGGCTCAGAGACACAGGCCAAACCCCCCTACCTCCTGCAGGGTCCTCTTGAGTCTCAGCAGCAAGGTCTTCACCGAGGTGCAGTCTTGCAACATCAGGCGGAAGGGCAGGGCTTCCAGGCCCACCAGCTCGTCCTCCCTGGGGCGACAGCTGTCCGCCGCAAGGCCTCCCAGCGCGCAGCTGGCTGGGGCACGGGAATCAGCTGCCCGGGCCTCCTTCGGCGAGCGGACCGAGCCTGACCTGGCAGGAGAGCAACATGATATGACATAACAGGACGCAGAGGTCTACCCAGTAGTGCATTCATACTGTTCCCAGGCTCAGGCAAAAAATCATACAGAGATGTATCTGTATTCATACACAGCTGTGTGTGCTGACCTCATAACTGCTCTCTCCTCATACAAAGCTTTTTTACCCAGTCCTTAACAGCCCAGACAACAAGACCATCCTGTCAGTGCTAATCTCTACTCATGCTTGATCAATATACAGCTAGTGATTCTTTTCTTAACTTTAAATCCTTTAAAACCACCTTCGTTTAGTAATTTCCTTACTACATGATCTAACAACGTACTGTGATTCCAGTGACTTCCTGCTCCTGACTACAGTATGTGGTGGGGAGAGTTGAAAGGTCATGTTCATGGATTGGGCGCTGTGTTATTTGTATATTGTGTGGAGTTGTAAATTATTGCCCAGCATTATAATTTCAGGAGATGTACTGTATTTCTAAATATTTTAGTAATATATCAAAATGTATCATTTTTTTCCTTTGGCAATAAATATGGCAGTTTAAACATGCTTCATAAGAGTAAAAGGTTTCATAGCCAAGATATATGATATTAAAGATATACAATTTCATACACTGTAGGCAAACATGCACAGAGCCAGTGGGTAGGAAGATATTATTGCAGGACATATTGTTTGAATCAAATGGTTTCTCATGAGCTCTGTGCTTAATCAACAAAGTTCCAGTATTACTGCTCATAATGCCCTACACAAAAGTGCTACATGTGTTTCACTGGGGTTCTCAAAGTTCTGAGAAAGCTATATTTTCTAGGCCATCCATTCAGTTCCATAAGAACTATTTCATATTACAACATACAAGAGGTGGGCATATCATCCCCAAAAAATCATCTGGATATTAAAAAATTGGAGTTATTCTAAACAAAACCCAGTTCCTCAACATCTCTCTTGAGGCAAGGTGTTACTCTTAGTATTTCCTGCAGAAGCCTGCTGGTTCCAGATTAACTGAACACCTTGAGAAACTGCAGATTTTTCAGGTTGCTCATAAGCTGAAATAAATGAATGCATAAACCGAGCCTGACTAAATAATTTGTTTTGTTCATTTTTAGCTGACAAAGGCTCCCACTGCTCAAACTGCATGAACAGCTGATCTGTATTATTTATTTCTGGGATAAAAAGTCTGTTCAAATTAGGGTGACATATATATTAGCAGAAGCCAAGAGTAATTTACCTAATATATGTAACTGCAAAAAAAAAATAATAACGATGCAGCATAATTCAAGATTGTTTTTTATTTAATTCTGCTTTGTGATATTTACTGTAGGTAACAATGGCATTTCAGCAAATGAGTAATCATCGATTTTACATCCAGGTATTCTGTGGTAAGCCAGCAACCCTAATATTTGTGCAACCTTTGATTTGGAGCCAATAAAGGCAGCTCAGGTCCAGGACAATCCTACAGCAACATAACAGATGGTCTTTAACAGGCATTTTAATAGGAGCAGCAAATGCATTTTGAGATAGTTTAATGACCCAAGAGCATCACCAACACTTGAACACTTGACAACATTTTACACATGAAGCCATGTGTTTATCCAATAAAATGCAAAGATGATGTTGTAATGAGATAACAATTAATGCAGCGTGTTGCAGATCAAAGCCAGATTGTCATAGGTATAATGGCAAAAAACTATAAAACAATCCCATTGCCATTCCAGTGATACAAGTGATTCAAAACATTACATTTCAAGGCAGATTCTGTTCTTTTTTAAATGCTGCTGAGCACCTGTCTCTTTCTAAGCCTTACGATTTCTGCTGTTGGAAACACTTGGAGATACACAGAGCATGAAGTCTGACATGATCAGGCTCATGTGCTCAGAGCTATGGCTGTGTGGACAGAAGGCAGCATGCGGACAGGTTTAGGGTGAGAAGCCTTTTTCTCCAGTCTTTAAAAGGACGTCACTAGGTGTTTCTTTTTTTGTAGGCACAACTGTGGTGCTCCCTGCAGCGCCGCCACCTGTCCAGGACGTTCGAGTTAGACAGCCCGTGTGTCCCCACAGCCCCTAGAGGGAGACCAGACCAGTGGAGAGTAGAAGCCTAGTAGTCCAGCAAGTCAAGGAAAACCCATCTGACTCAAGGCTGCTGGGGACATGCTGGCCCCAATGACCAAGTGCATGAACCAGCGATGTCCGGGTGACAGGTCTGAACCGAAGGGGAACAGGGAACCCCCAGGAAAAAAAAGCCCTAATTACCTTCATTAGATAATTTAAACATTAAAAGAACCTGATAAGGATTTCACTGATTCTACAGCTTTGGCAGTATCACCTTTCCTGAACTTGCAGAAAATTAAATGCACACAAGGCAAAGAGGAAAAGCATGACCTGGGTGCTGAATACAGAAAGTGAATCACTTTCTTTTCCTCGGTCTATTGCATGACATTAATTCAAAAGATCATAAACGTGTGAAATAAAATGCTTTTAAAGCTACTTTTAAAGCCAAATCACAACATTCCAGATTTCATTACTCCTTATGTACTCTTTGCTTTTAAAATACTAATATGCATAAGCACATCACATGCATAATACTGGCTACAGAATGTCAATAGTCTTAGAGTGCCATCATTAATATTCATTATTCATATTCACAGCATTAATAATCAAGTTACAACAGGGGATTATGAAAGGACTTTGTTCCATTGCTCTCTGGCACTAGGATAGCTGAGGACAGGTCAGTGTTTGATAAATGTGAAACAATATCGACCCAACTGCGTAAGTTAGCACCTTCACAAATGCTAACTAGATGAATCAGGAAAAGAACCTGAGAAAGGCTCTACTGAGGCATCTCCTGACCATTCAGGCTGCTTCTCAGAGAGATTTTAATAGCTTCCCTTTAAAAAAACAGAATACATTTTGGAGTCATATCAGAAGGCCATGCATCCCTAATGTAGAAATAAGCTCAGCTCTGGTATTCTCTTTGCAGGGCAAGCACCACAGGACCACTTCTTTCAAAGTGTACCATTCACAGCGCTAGTCTAGTGTCAGTTTCTTCAGAGCTATCTCATTCTCCTCCTTCTGTGATCTTTGGGAATGCTTGACATTTAAACAGAAAGATAACGCAGGTCACTCATGGAGCAGGAGATCACTATAATTCGCTCTTTAGTGGTTCTGACAGCGATCAGTATCTGCAGTCAATTGTGTCTGAAACAAAGCTCAGCTCGCTAAAGGCACTTCTGAAGGCACTGGGAGCAGGGGAAAAGAGGTTACAATCAGAACCATTTCTCACTTTTATTGTTTTTTACAATAGTCTCCTAGCTGTGCAGATAAAGCTGACAGGTTTTTCTCAAGTCACAAGAAAATGACATTACGTTTCTGACTGTCACCTGCTACACAAAGGAACTGTCAAAAAAACATATTTTTGGTACCACCCTAGAAGAGTTTATGTACTGATCTACAGGAAAAGCCAAAAGGCATGCTAAACCTCACTACAAATTCATGCTGTATTTCAGTTTTACTGATACAGAAGAAAATGCTTTCTTTTGATTTTTTAAATCCTTTAAAAAATCCTTTAGCACAATTACAACAACAAAACTCTGTGACAGAGAACACAATCGCAGTTTGTCCCAGGTCTGCTGTCAATAACAAAATCTCCTTCTGACACACAAATACCATCCTAGAGCTCTGCAGGAGAACAACTCAGATGGTCCCAGAACAGACAAGATGTTATCAGAGCAGATCAGATGGTACCGTAACGGGTCAGACAGTACCAGGGCAGATCAGACAGTACCAGAATAGGTCAAATGGCATAAGAACAGGTCAGCCCTTCCATCAGGAGGCTCTCTACACCATGGATCTCCACAACTCTTCCCCACGCACCTGCGCCAGGCTCTAACACCTCATCCGTGTAGATGACCATGTGACCTCTGAACTCACAATGGCCATCCTGGAGGCGGGCTGTGATCCTTTGGTGCTGATACTGCTGATGGGTGATGGGTCAGGCACTTTGCTATCTTGATTAATGGCTATCCACTGTTGTTCCGGATCTGTTGCTACATCTCTCATTCATTTAAGGGACACAGCAGTCAACAGTCAGACTTGTTTCGGAAAGCAAGCCTGACACAAGCAGGGGAGAAATAGAAAGTGGATAAAAGATGCCTTGTGTCTTGTCTAGTAACAGCCTGTTTTTACTTGTGTCCAGTCTTGACTACATTACCTAGTCAGGTGACTGTGTGCCGCATTATGAGCTCAAAGTAGACTATTTTGCAACCAACACCACTGGCTCACTTTAAAAACAATTTAAAGAGCTGTCTCTAAGAGCTCCTGAACATAGCCACTAACTGACACAGCAGGGACTGGGATCTAGGTCTTGCTGAAGGCCGCCATTATCCAGATCTCTGGATAGAGACATTTTACCGGATTAACCCCTGGAACACATATTGAAGAAAATCCTTTAACAACGCATCTCATTTAAAAAAATATATCAAGAGATTGCAAGGTTCAAATACAGGGTAAATTAAAAAGAGAAGCTCATCTGCAGTTAATGAAATCCAGTCCAATCCAGTCTGTTCTCTTCTCAGTGCTCTAAAGTGGCCTCAAGAGAGAGATAAGTGGCTGATGAACTGAAGCAAAAAAAATGAAACCAAAAATATTTTCTGCATAATTTAAAAATGTGCTTACATATTCAACTCTTTCCAAAAAATTCAAATAAAAAATAAATCTTATTTTTGATAACTTTTTCCATGGGTGTTTTCTAGTTTACTGGTTAAGCATTAATTGGGGATTTTCAAGTCTGGAAAAGAAGCAGCAAAAAACAGCTGAAATGTTCTTTTTTCCCTGTTATATCCCTAAAAATTTATTTTAAAAGCTAGAATTACTCAATGTCTTTAGTCATAATGACATCATTCAAAATGGGCACTGTGGCTAAGGATCTGCACCTGTGGCTGGAAGGTTTCTGGTTCAAATCCCACGGCCAGCAGAGGAATCCTACTCCGTTGGGCCCCTGAGCAA